AATTCAGCGGCCCAAAATTTCACTGTCGTAAATGATGGTGCAGAGTCCCCATACACAGAATCCAACTCATCTTTGATTTGCGTAGGCGTATTGCCTTTCAAAAACAAATATTTAATGACAGCTCGATACTCGATTTTGTCCATTTTCACAAAAACACTCACATCAACTTACTCAAACGACTGTTACATAACAACTGCGAGTCCAAAATGGCTGAAACTTCGGTGAGTAACTGTCAACAGATGAACAACGAAATTCACTAGCTTTTATTTACAAGTGCTGCTATCTTCACGTTGAGGTCGGAAACTTTTCAGACCACCCTCGTATATCTGCTTCGTCACGTGTACGATTGTAGTCGCTATGTAACGATATATCATCACGATATAGAGAACGATATATCACAATAGCGAAGTAAGAATAATCTTTACAAAAGAAACAAAAAACGCCGAGTACGTATAAAAAAGTACCAAAATAAAAAGTACCAAATAAAAAATACCAAAACAAAAACTACATAACAAAAAGCACATGTTAACTCAAACAAAGTGTAGATGTTTTAAATTAATTATGTTCAAAAAGGAAGTGAAATCAATATAATTAACTAAGTACATATATGTATGAATTTATTACATAAGTAATTGTGTGATAAATATCAATTATACAAAAAATACTAAAACAAAAAGTACCAAAAAAAAAGACAAAACGAAAAGTACATGTTAACTTAAACAAAGTTCAGATGTTTTATATATTCAAAAAAAAAGTGAGATCAATATAATTAACCAAGTACGAATATGTAAGTATTTATTACACAGGTAATTGTGTGATAAATATCAATATTGTAATATTCAGATATTTTGAATAAAAAAAATTTTTTTTAATCAGTTATGTTTTATGTCAGTGTCTTATGTCAATTTGTTGTTTTTTATATCTATAGTTGGGACATCCCTAGTAGCATATATTGGATCACATACGTTTTATAAACGTATGTACCATTTCATAATCGTTTGTAAAATGTTTCCCACACGTTTTTAAACTTTTTATTTGCTAATTGACACGTTTTTATGTAGCATATTGTAATTCATCATATTTTATTAATATTAATAATTGAACGTTGAAATATCAAAGTATCAAATTGAGAGAGAAAAACTTAACATTGAGGGTCAAAAACTCGGCGTGTCCCAATCAATATCTTGAAATACTCACGCACAATTTATATATAAGGTGTAGTAAAAAGAAATCCATTATTTTTCCAATAGATGGTTTTAGTAAAGTGTATCTCGCGTTGTATAAGTGCGATCGGTTTACGCTAGATAGCGTTAGAAAGATAAGATTTCGTACTAAAAAAACTTTTCAGACAGTTTTGTGATTGTTTGACTCAGTATTGTTTTAGCGCGCGTCAAAGATGGACACCAGCAAAGAGAAAATACGCCATATTTTACAGTTTTTCCTCGATAAAGGCGAAAACGCAAGCCAGGCGGCTGAAAATGTGAATAGAGTTTATGGTCCTGATACTGTAACAGCCAATCACGCGCAATTTTGGTTTCGTCGATTCCTTTCCGATAATTTTGATGTCAAAGATGCACCACGTTCTGGAAGGCCAATTGTCGAAAATGTCGATAAAATAATGGAAATCGTCGAGTCCGACTGTCATGTAAGCATTGTTTCGATTGCCCAGGAGCTAAACATTGCACAAAAAACCGTTTGGAACCTCTTGAATAAGGCTGAATACAAAACCCCTCCATGCCGCCACCTTATCGTGGTGGAGGGGTACCGGCGATCCGATGAAGGCTCGGCGGCAGTACCTTTCGGTTTCGGCCGGAAGGGAGGTCCCTACCTGAGGATCGCTGGCGAACGGCGGAAAACGTGGAAGGAAAACCCCCACAGAAAACCGGACCGCGGTGGGCTGCAGCCCCGCGGTTGCTAGAGGGGGTCGTAAGACCCTCCACTGCAGGGGGACCCGGCAACTCCCACAGGGCCGATGGGCCCAATTGCCGGTAGGGGTTGGCGGTCCTGACTTCAATCGCCCGGCCGGCTGGGGCCGTTAGATGGAACTTGCTCCACCACCAGTCTTGGGGTGGGTTGGGGGGACCTCCGCTCCGGGACGGGTAGTTTCTCGTCTCGGGGGAGGAGAAGGTCCTACACGAGTAGGCATTGCACGCCGGTCTGGCAACTGAAAGCGTGGGACACCCTCGATCCGTCCCTACTCGGGCCTCGGCCTGGGTAGGGTGGGGAGAGGAACCCACACCCGGGATTGCACGTCGGTAGTTTCCAACAACCCGGGGGGTGGACGGGTGCGCGGGCCGCTCGGACATATTCCGAGACCGGGGTCGCGCACCCTGGGATGGCCATCCCGTCGGAGCTACCCGGAGGATCACTTCGGGCCGGCGGGACGGGAGGTGGAGTCGCAGGGACCGGTACATTGGCCCTCCCCATATTCAGTGGAAAGATGCCGCACCCCGGCAACTCTGCGACTCCTCCTGGTCACGGTCGCCTATAGCGACGTGGCCGGCCGTGAGGGCCCCCCCGTGTGGGCAGCTGCGCACGGGGAGCATTAGGGGTCTGCGTGGTATTTGCCAGGACCCCTACAGCGCTGGTCCGACAACGTCGGACCTGTACACATCATAAACCCCCAGGGGTCGTTATGTCATGTCTATGACGAACCTCTGGGGGAGCGAGGGCCTTGGTTTAAACGCCTGGGCCGCGAGGACGGGGACCTTTATAAAAAACCTCTCCAATCCTAAGCTTGGGAGCCGTGGCGATGGGATGAATGGCCGGCGGGTTAGTCGGTCGCGAGCGGTCCACCCCGTGGCACCTGGCGCACCCCGGGTGTATCTAGCCCGAACCCAGGCGTGGGACTCCGCCTGGGGGGTTTATAGTTCCTCCAGTTCTTATGGCCCGCCCTTTAAGCCTCTGGGTGAAAAGGGGCGGGCAACCTAAAGATGGCTACACCGTTTAAAAACATAGACGTCGCAGGAGGAGAGGAGGAGGAGGTGGAGGCGTATGCCTCGCTTTCAGACGGGCAAAATTCGTCAAACGCTGAGCCGACCACCAGCTCAGCCGGAAGGGAGGAGGCGAGCAGTTGCCCCTCCGTAGAATTGGAGACGGGGGCGAATGAACCCCTAGATAGAAGTGCGGGACCATCTTTGGTCTCAACACGCTCCTATAACACTAGGAGGAACAGCCTCAGCGCGGGGAGTAGCGACGGCGACGTCAGCTCGCGGTCGCGGTCGGTCTCCCCCGATCAGAGGCAAATATTTGTCAAAAAGGATGGGCGGGGGCGACGCGCCGTATACTTCCGCACTGGAGACCACACGGCGGCCGCCCGGGCGCACAGAAAAAGAAAGAGGGAGGAGAGCGACGCGGCGTCGGGCGTGGAGGATGTAAAGAACCCCAACGTACGCCCACAGTCCGCGAGAGCCCTCCAAACATTGGAAGAAGAAGGGAGGATCCTCCGCGGCTTGCGGTCAGTACGGACCGCTGAAGTCTTGTCGATGGCCCTATGGGCCATCGATGAGGTGAAAAAAGTCGCGGAGCGGTCCAAAAATATGAAGGGAGGCTACAAGGGGGTCCTCTGAGACGCAACGGCGACGATGGCCGCATGCAGCCTCGCTCTTGTTCAGAGGGCCACTACAACTGATGGCTCCGAACAGAGCGAGGCTGCAAAGAAGGAGCAGGAGGCAACCCTGGGCGAGATGGAGCGCCTGCGAGTTGAGGGCGCTCTACTCCGGCGGTTGGTCGCCTTAACGGAGAGCTGGAGAGGGCCCGAGCACCTGGCCCCTCCAGCTTGTAACGCGGTTCCTTTTCTTGCCCCGTGCTTTTTCTGCGGTTTATCTTTGGGTAAGCTCGTCGGCGGCCAGGATCGTGATAGGAGAGAGAGATGGCAGTAATGTGCTCGATTGTGTTGAATTATAACGAGAGTTTATTGCCTTGAGTTTATTGCGTACAGGGAGTGAGGATCTACACTGTGCCCGAGGCGCGCGCGATCGGTGTTGCCGGTGCAACCCGGGGTGGTGAGCGGTCGCGGTGGCGGCAGGTCGCGATTCGGGCTCTGGGCCGCGTCGTCCCTCGGGTTGACCTCCGCTATCCCAGACGTGGCCGGAGGTTCCTCCCTTCTGCTATTGGACGGCGGCCTGCTCGGCGACGAAGCCCGGCACGTCGTCGTCTGGAACGGTGTGTCGTGGAGTCACGGTCGAAGCCCGACGCGCTCTCCTCTGAGTTCGATCGACGGACGAAACCCGGCACGTCGTCGTCTAGAACGGTGTGTCGTTGAGTCACGGTCGAAGCCCGATGCTCTCTCCGCTGAGTTCGATCGACGGCCGAAACCCGGCACGTCGTCGTCCGGAACAGTGTGCCTCGAGAGGCGGAGTTCTCGGTCACGCTCCCGTGCTGGTCTATCAGGAGACCGGCGGTGAACTCGTCTCAAGGGTTCCGCGAGCCCCCCCTTTTATAGAGGCGGCCGCGGAAATTTAACTGCGAGTGCTGCCTCAATCTCGCGTTCGCGCCGCGTAGCGGCGACCGGAATGACTACTGGGCTCCCGGCATGCTAGTCGTATAACGGGTGTCAAATATCGCAAATAAGTACAGCGGGAGAACGCAACATAAATATATTCTGGTTACCGACAACGGTCGAGAATACAACGGTGGAGTAAACGAAGGAAATAGCAACTAGAACGACTGAACACAATTTGGAACAATTAGGAACGAGGTAGGAACGCGTCGTTACACTACCTCCTCGCTAGCATGGGGTCCGGCTCGTCGTGCGCGAAAGAGGACTTCTTCCCTGAAGTGGAGGATCCATCTGGCGCTGCCGGCGTGGACCCGGCAGGCCCCCTGGCGCAAGGTGGCTGCCCGGGGTACCGTGACCTGGGTACCGTCCGGCAACGTTACGGTCCGTCGAGGCCCCCGGGGTTCCGGGCTTCCCCCCGTGCTGGGGGGGGAGGAGGTTGATGGGGCCCTCGTTCAGCCCGTGGTCTCGTTGTTGGTGAAGGTTGCCGACTGCTCCCTGACGAGTCGCTCCCAAAGTGCTCACGCATGAGCGCCTTCTGGTCTCGGGCGTACCGGGGGGCGCCTACCCGTCCTTTCGTTGCTGGTGGCGCTGATGGTGGTGGCGCCGGTGGTGTTGTAAGTGGGGGGGCCAGCGGTCCCGACCTCTGCGGGGGTGCGCCAGGTGGCGTGTGGTGCCCGGAGGACTGGTGGCGTCTGTAGGACCACCCTACGGTTCGGTGTCTCCTCCCGAAGGATTCTCGGGCCTGAGCGAGCCGAGGTTGACGGCGTGGTCGGCGGTCGGTTGCCGGTTGCCCATCCCACGGGCCGGACGTGGGGCTGGCCCCTGGGGCGGCCGGTGGGTGGCGGGGGTGCGTACCCGACCAATGCCAGTAGCTTCCGCTTGCCGGCGTCGCGGGAGCTCTGGATCGACGTCCCCACCCGTGGCCGGGCGAGCGCGCCTACGGGCGGCGTCAGAGTTTCGGCCGGGGGGGGGGGCTTCCCGTGCTCCGGTTCCGGCCAGCAAGCGCTGCCATGTGGCGTTTGCCTCCTCCGGCGTCATCGGGCGAATGAGCTCCTGAAGAGTTTGCTCTTCGTCTGCCATGGCGTGGTTGGAGCGTGTTCGCCAGTCCCTCGCTCCGGGGGGTCGTTGGCCTTATATACCCTCTGTTCTGGATATTTGCCTTCGAGTACGTGCCCGGCGAGCGCCGCTTAGCGGCGTGCGGCGAACTTACTGGTCGGTGCACGGCACGTACAGGGCCGGCTCGCGGGGTCTCCGGGCCCTGGGGTTTGTCGCTGCTTCGTTCGTCGCGGCTGGCGGGTTTCATGTCCCGTACATGAATTCCCCGATACCAGTGCCCCTGTTTATCCCGGAGGTCGGCTATGACCGTGGAGATGATCCGTCGCACCTCCATGGGGCCCGTATATTTGGGTGCAAGCTTTGCGTTGAAGGCCCGTTTCTTATCGGACAAGGGGTGGTCGCGTTCCCATACCTGATCCCCCACTTGGGGACGCCAGGATCGATGCCGTAGGTTGTAGTGGTGCTCCTAGTGCTGAAAGGTCCGCGCCAGATTGATGCGGACGAGCTCGTAAGCTTCGTTCAGCTGCCGCTGAATCGTACTCGGTGTACCCATGGGCGCTAGTCGTCCGCGTTCCATGGAGATTGGTCCGGCCAGCTCTCGTCCATGGTTCAGGTAGGCCGGTGTATATCCGGTTGCTTCGTTTCAGGCTGTGTTAAATGCGTACTGGAGAGCGGGGAGGTGTTCATTCCACCGCCGGTGGTTTCGCTGCATGTATTGGGCTATCATCGCCTTCACGATGCGGTTAGCACGTTCCACAGGGTTACACTGTGTTGTGTAAATAGGTGTCGTTCGGTGGCGGATCCCGAGGCTCTGGGCGACCGTTCGAACGGGTTTGGACACGAATTGCGTCCCGTTATCCGTAATGATGACGTCGGGGCACCCGTGCCGGTAGACAATCTGGGCCAGGATAGCCTGGGCCACGGCATTAGCGGTGGCCTGTCGTAACGACCTGGTTTCAACCACTTGGTGAAGCGGTCCTGCATCGTGAGCAGCCACCGGTGTCCCTGGCTTGAACGGGGCAGGGGCCCGACCAGGTCCAGCGACACTTGTTCCCAGGGTGCGTGGACCGCCGTAGCGTGTAGTCTGCCCGCTTGGTGACCCTGGGGGGTTTTATGGGCCAGGCAACTCGGACACCGCCGTACATGACGGGCGATGTCGCGGTACATGCCGGGCCAGTAGAACCGTCGGGCGAACTGGGCGATCGTCTTGACTATCCCTAGGTGCCCAGCGGAGAACTCGTCATGATATAGGCGCATTATCTCGGGCCGCCGCCCCCGTGGGACGCACTCCTTCCATTGCTCATGGCTGGGGACCTCGCGAAAGTCGAGGTCGTGTAAGAGGTGGCGGAAGAGTCGCCATTTACGAATGAGATAGTCGGGGTGCTGCTGTGGTTGCTGGCGCACCTGGTCGGCTAATCGTTGGCAGTACCATCGGTCCTGAACGGGCCGTTTCAGGGAGCAGACCTCGGGTCGCCGGGATAGGGCGTCAGCGACCTAGTTAGCGGTCCCGCGCCGGTACTTGATCTCGAAATCGTATTGTTGCAACTCGGACCACCAGCGGCCCAGCCGGCCGGTGGGGGAGTCCATGCTGTGGAGCCATCGCAGTGCTTGGTGATCGGTGACCACGGTGAATCGATATCCTTCCAGGTACGTCCGCATGCGCCGGATGCCCCAGACCACCGCTAAGCACTCTAATTCGGTGGCGCTGTAGTTTCGCTCGGCGGGATTCAACGTTCTGCTAGCGTATGCGATGACGCGTTCCCCTTCCTCGAATTGCTGGATGAGCACGGCTCCCAGGCCTAGAGCACTGGTGTCCGTCTGTAGCACGAATGTCCGTGCAAAGTGCGGGCAGGCGAGCACCGGGGTGGAGGTGAGAGCGGCTTTTAGCGCCTGGAAGGCCGCCTCTTCCTGTGGACCCCAGTGCCATCGAGCCGTCTTCCGGGTTAACCCGGTAAGCGGCGCGGCGGTCCTGGCGAATTGCGGTATAAACCGCCGGTACCATGAGGCCATCCCTAGAAACTGGCGCACCTTGCGTATAGTCGTAGGGATTGGCCAGTTGGTGACAGCGGTCGTCTTCTCGGGGTCGGTTCTTAGCCTCTGTGCGTCCACGATGTGCCCCAGGTACCGGAGCCTGTTGCGCCGAACTGGCATTTGTCCTGGTTTGGTCGTAGGTGGGCGGCTTGGAGTCGTTGCAACACTTCTTGTAGGACGCGCAGGTGCTCCTCGAAGGTCCGCGTGGTGGTGATAATATCATCCAGGTATACCAGAACATGGGGCTCCAGGTCCGCTCCCAGCACAGTGTCTAGAAGGCGTTGGAATGTGGCGGGGGCGGAATGTAATCCGAACGGCATCACTCGGAACTGCATTAACCCGAGGCCGGGGACCGTAAAGACAGTGATAGGGCGGCTGGCGGGGATTAAAGCCACCTGCCAGTACCCGTTCTTGAGGTCGATGGTGTTCAGGTACCGGACGCCGCGGAGCTTGTCCAAAGTGGCGGTTACCTGCGGCAGGGGGTAGGCATCCTTTTCCGTGACTTCGTTCACTTTTCGGAAGTCTATGCAGAACCTCCGGCTACCGTCTTTCTTTCGTACTAGTACGACCGGGAAACTCCACGGGCTATGCGTGGATTCAATAATGCCTTGCTGCTCCATTTGTTGGACCTCTTGGTCGATGATGCCTTGCATCGCCGGGTTACGGGGTCGAAACCGTTGTTTGATGGGCCGGCTCCCATGCTTCAGTCGAATCTCGTGCTGCACGCATGGCGTGGGCCCGGGTACGGTCGCGAATTGTTGGAACTCTTTCTCTAGGACTTCCTGCAGCCGGTGTCGCTGTAGTGTGGCCATAGGCGCAAGTCCCCCTGCGTCGGTGCTCAGGGGTGCGAGACGGAGCGGAGTCGTGGTCGTGGTCGGGGCCGCCGGGGGACATAATGGTAGCTGAAGGCGGGCCCACAAGTCGGCCCCAATGAGCATGTCTTCGATCAGGTCCGGCATTACGTAAAAATCGTGGCTGACTACGCGCTGCCCCACTTGCAGCGGCAGCCGCACAGTGCCGGCGAGGGTGACGGTCGTCCCATTCGCCAGCCTGATCTCTTTTTCCTCGAGCCGTGGCGTACAGCGCAATCGCCTCGAGAGGCGGAGTCCTCGGTGTCACGCTCTCGTGCTGGTCTCTCAGGAGACCGGCGGTGAACTCGTTTCGAGGGTTCCGCGAGCCCCCCTTTTATAGAGGCGGCCGCGGAAATTTAACTGCGAGTGCTGCCTCAATCTCGCGTTCGCGCCGCGTAGCGGCGACCGAGATGACTACTGGGCTCCCGGCATGCTAGTCGTATAACAGGTGTCGGGTATCGCAAATAAGTACAGCGGGAGAACGCAACATAAATATATTCTGGTTACCGACAACGGTCGAGAATACAACGGTGGAGTAAATGAAAGAAATAGCAACTAGAACGACTGAACACAATTTAGAACGATTAGGAACGAGGTAGGAATGCCTCGTTACAAGCTTGCCACAAGCGACCTCCGCTATGGAGGTCGATGAAAATGATATACCGGACCTCGAAACCGGTGTGCATACGGGTCCCATTTCCCGGGACTCGTCTGCGGACTGGAAGAGAAAGAGGGCAGAAGAAGCTGGGGGGGAATCTCCACTCTCCCAGTCTTCAAATAAAAAGGATGGTCCGCAACCCCCTGTCTACCTCCAGTGAGGAAGAGATGATGGTGGAAGGGGGCGCTGGATCTGCCCGGCCACTCCACCCGACTCCCGAGGAAATAGAAATCGGGAAACAATGCCGGGAGGAGGTGGCTCGGGATAAAGCGACGGGAACGCTGCCCTCGGGGGGACCCCCCCCTCTTCGGGCACGTGATAGTCCTACTGAGGGAGTTGGTCGACCCTTCCCAAAGAGGGGGAAAAAGAAGAGGAAGGCTGCTGTGGTGGTAACGGCGGGTGTGGGGGCACTCCTCGCAGCCCGTCAAGTTGGTGGGCGGCCTCAGAGGGTCGCGGGGGGAAAAGTCCCCCCCTCGGCTGAAAGCGCGTCCCCTGTGGTGGCAGGATTGAGTGGCGGGGAGCTAAAGGCCCTTGTGGTGGCCCTAGTTCCCCGCCTTTTCGAGGCCATGGGGGCCGTCATCTCCGGGATTACGCCTGGGGGGCGGCCCGCGTGGCCCCAAAGTGAAAATAAAAAGGTAGGAGGAGATGGTGGGGAAGGGAGCCGAGCAACGCGCCCCGACCCTTCCCCTGTTGCCAAGTCCTCCGCGACCTCTACCCCTGTCGAGGCCAAACGGCCTGAAGTGGCGGGGGAGAGCAAGCGGAGGAAGAAGAAGAAAAAGAAGAAGAGCGGTGTGGGTGACCCCTCGCCCCCTGGATAGTAGGCGGGCTGCCCCTAAAGTGTGCGCCTGCTCCTGCCGGGAAGCCGGGCCCCCCCAGGACCGGATCGCGCCTATGCGATCCAGGGGGGAGTACCGACTCTCCCTGCTCCCCCGCCGGGCGCGAGACCTGGGCCCGAGTGGTCGGGAGGAGGGAGAAGAAGACGGAAGGGGGGGGCAAACAGGCTCCCCAACCCGTCCCCCAAAAGCCTTGGCCCCAGAAGGGTGCCGCGACCAAGGGGGGCGATAAGAATAAAAATACACGGGATGGGGGAGGCGGGAGAAAACCCGCCCTCCCGAAGGCTCCTCGCACCGCCGCCATCACGGTGAGCTGCCCTACGAGTAGCTACGCCGATGTTGTGCGGCGGGCGAGGAGCCATATAGATCAAAGTGAGCTGGGGATCTCAGGGCCAGAAGGGCCGCCACCGGCGCACTGCTCCTCGAGATCCCTGGTCCCGAAGGACAGACTAGGGCAGATTCCTTGACCAAAAGAATGTCGGCCCTCTTCGCCGACAAGAGAGACATGCAAATTGCGCGTCCCTCGAAGAGGGCCGACATCCGGGTCCGTGACCTGGAAGACTCAGTCACCGCGGAGGATGTGATCTCCGCGGAGGCGGTCGCCGGAAGTTGCGGACGGAGGACGACTCAAAGTTGGGTGATCCTCCGTCCGCGTAGAGGCCCTGATAAAGCGCCCCCTCCAGTGCTTCAAATGCCTGGAGTAGGGCCACGTCAGGGCCTTATGCAAAAGCAAGACTGACCGCAGTGGTCTTTGTTACCACTGCGGCTCGGCCGGCCACAAGGCCGCGGCGTGCGATGCACCGGCGACATGCCCGGTGTGTCGCGACGCCGGGCGGCCCTGTGGCCACAGAGTGGGAGGTCCCGCTTGCCAAATGGCAAAGCGGGGCAAGGGGGGATAGAGCGGGAGGAGGAGGCGTAAAGCCTCCAATATCCCTCCCGCCCCTCCTCCTGGGAAAGAAAA